AAAATTCTTAATCAGTAAACCCTTTACCAACCTCTGATAGTTGGGGGAGGGTATTGTTTTTGCTCCCTTGTGAACAGTATAGCTCAAGAAGTTTTCTTCTGAGTTTGATGACATTTGGTGTAGGGTTGAGCCCCCCCCCCCCAGGACTAGTTGATTAATTTTTGGTGAATGTGGGTCAGAAGTGAAGGTCAGCCTCTGTTATGATAGCAGATTGGGATTTTGAAAAATAGACAAAACTGAGGTAGAAAGAGGACCTTGGTACCTAGTTGTATATTTTTGAGGATGAAATATTTGGTGTATATTTTAGGATGTTTACTGCAACGTAAAACATCTTTTACCAATCTAAAAAAATCCTACACTAAGAGTAAAATACAAAGTAACAAAATAATACATGAAATTAGGAAAGGTATGAAACAAAATTAAAATGGATAAATCAATTATCAATTAAATGTCACAATAAATGTAAAAAGCAAAACACTAAAAGAAATAAGGACAAGCTGAACTTTGAGAAATGAAATAGTAAATAACATTTATCTACGTACAGCCAATTTTAGTATAATAACAACAGATATATAGTTTGAAAAACAATTTTGCACTCATCAAAGAGTTACATTACACATATGTTGTCCTTCAAATCAACATGCTATAGGCCTATCTGTACAACATATAATTTTCTAGTAAACATAATTGGCTGATTTTTAGAAAGTCTAGGTTCATTTTCCTTATGTTGTTGTAGTGCTTATTTGAGGGTCCCCCCCTCATCTTATGTTGTTGTAGTGCTTATGTGAGGGCCCCCCCTCATCTTATGTTGTTGTAGTGCTTATTTGAGGGTCCCCATCATCTTATCTTGTTGTAGTGCTTATTTGAGCCCCCCCTCATATCCTATAATGATATGCTTTGTTTCATTACCAGATCTTTCCCAGCTGGTCCACACAGCTCCTGGTAGTAATAACAATACTTTCAGTGCAGAAAACAATATAAACTGAAATGATATTTCCAACCGTCATTTGTACATTCTCTCCTTATATTAATAAATTTGTTACCGTATTTTTTGTTGTATAAGACGCTCCCTTATTTTGAAGACAAAGTTTTGGGGGAAAAAAAAGCTACAGTCGCATTTGAAAGATTTTTATTGAACAAAAATTCAATTTGATACTTTAAAAATTAGTATATATTGTTCTGAACACAAACGAGCTCAAACATCAAAATAAGAAAATACCGTAAATCAAAAAAAAATTTACTGTTATTTAGTTTGGTTCTAAACCTACAAAAATTTTCATTGCTTTCACTGAAATTTATTTT